CCTTATCTGGCTTGGAGAGCTGCCAGGCCGATATCTGCAAAACTTGTAGATCTCGTAGTCACGAACCAATTAGGCAAACTAATGGTCTCCTTTCGCTTCTCTTTTATTTCCTCGGGGGGGGGGGGGGGCATTCACCGCCCCCCTTTGGCCTTAACTCCCAAGTCAACCCCTGTTCTTTAGCTGTTCCCTTCCCCTGGCAACTCTGCACATGCACACACTGGAAACATGCTCCAGCTGTTCTTCTGCCTCACTGAAATCTGACTCTGAAGGCAGCTGATAAGTGGCACATGGCTCTGGCCCCCTCTCCACCTCCTACATAGAGCCCTCGTCAGTGCCTTCCCCAGACTGGCCCATCTTCCTCCCCAATCTCCTCACCGTGAATCTGCTGACACTGGTGGGCCACAACACTTGGGAATTTGCCAGACCTGGGGCTCATCTGCTGCAGTTTGTCAAGTGAAGCTCTTGGCCCTCTTGCATCAGGAAGCCCAGGGTCTCACATACCCTTCCTCTCCTTACCCCTTTAGGAGTTTGCCCAGGAGCAGAAGCAGTATGTGCCCCCGTGGGTCCTCTATTTCAGCTGCCCTGCCGAACTGGAGCGGTTCCTGCTGGCACTGGACGCTGTGTGGAAGAGCACCTACCAGGTTGGCTAGTCATGCAGTGAGCGGCCTTGGTTCTGTACATGGGGGGGGCTTCCAGGCGGCAGGTGGGCAGCCCCATCTTCCCCCTCACGACTCCTTTTGCCCCCGCTGTGTCTGCAGGTGGACCTTCTGCACAAGCCCCTCGAGGACAGCTCCATCCGGAAGAAATGCGAGGATGCGCTGAGCCTGATCCACAGCATGTGGCAGCGCAGCGACAGCCTGTGTCGCGGCCGAGCTTCCCGGGACCCCTGGTGTTAGCCTCCCGGGAGGCGAAGAACATCCTGATCCCACCAGGCGGACGCATGGAAGGGCGCACGAGGGAGGGGAGGACCTGAGGCAGGAGGGGTGCGGGCCTCACTTGCTTTGGACACTCCACGAGCCCAGCTCCAAGCCCAGGAGGGGGGTCTGTTTGCTACCGCTGCTATTGACTCCGTCTCGCACACCGGTTGGGCTGACGGGTTACAGGACGCTTTTGTGCCAAGGGTGGGCTGTCCGCGCCGCATCTCAGTAGGGATTCTGGGTAGAAGAGGGAGCAGGAAGCAAGATTTTTGGGGCCACTCCAGGGTAGGACGGGGTCCAGGAGATGGGAGGGATAAGCCGTGAAGAATGGTGAGCTTAGGGTGCCAGTGGGGAGGGGCTTCTGCACAAAGTGGTGACATTAGGCTGGCAGCTGTCCATCTTTTAGATGCCAGAGCCCAGACTGCATCATCCTCCCCCCGCATGTGTTACTTTTGTCCAAGGCTGGCAGCAAGTCTTGGGCCACTTCCTGGTCCCGGTTTGCCCTTTGCAGCTTCT